TATCGGATGATGTACAAGACTTATTTGATAACTCTGTTGATGTAGCATTCACTGATATAAGTCAATGTGTCGATTATGTCGTAGAAGCATTGTGTCTAGCTGCTTTTGATATGAAAAGACGGATACGCCCCTTTTCAGAAAATCATAATACGAATATCTGGTATGATGAAGAATGTAATCATGTAAAAAAAGAACGGTGTAAATTTCTTAACTCCTTCCGAAAAGATAAAACCTTGCAGTCCCTGGGGAGATATCATAAAGCTAGAAACAGATATAATACAACCTGCAAGGAAAGGAGAAAGGCATTTATGGAACAGAAAAGAAAAAAACTAGAAAATAATATAAATGAAGCTAAAAAATTCGCGTATGAACTTAAAACACTCAATCCTAAGAAAAGCCAAAATAATAACATTGAAATCGACGAATGGTTCAATTACTTTCAGTCATTATTCTCTACCTCTGATAACAACCCAGATCCAAATAGACAAGGCTACGTGAACGATACTGAGTCTACTCATATTTCAGGTATAGCCTCCGACATATTGGATGCCCCAACAAGTAGAGATGAAATACTTAACAGTATACAACATCTAAGGTGTAATAAGTCACAAGGATTAGACAAAACCTTCCGGAATTTTTCAAACATTCATCTGATCTTTTACTTCCATATCTTGAGCTTATTTTCAATATCATCCTCAACACTGGGAACTTTCCTGAATCTTGCTCAGTTGGCATTCTTGTTCCAGTCTATAAACAGGGTTACCCTAAAGATACCAATAACTACCGTGGAATAACTGTACTTAGTATATTTGGCAAGTTATTTACTTACATTATCAACAAAAGATTAGTTAAATGGACTGACGTCATGGATCAGATATACGAGGGTCAAGCGGGTTTTAGGGAGGGATATACAACAACAGATAATATCTTTATACTGTATAGCCGAATACAAAGATACTTCAGCTCAAAAGGTGGAAAGTTCTACGCACTATTCGTTGATTTTGCAAAGGCTTTCGATTCTGTGCAGCGGGATAAACTATGGAGCACAGTGGTGTAGTGGTTAGCATGCTGGCCTCTCATGCCAAAGGCCCGGGTTCGAATCCCGGTGGAGACACCAAAATTTGTGACCTGGGTCTCATGCTGTGTTGTGTCCTTGGGCAAGGCACTTTGTCCACATTGCAGTCAGTCCACCCAGCTGTTCAAATGGGTACCTGAGAAGCAGATGTACGGACCCATGGCAGCTTTGAAAGTACAATTCCGTCAGGGTAATAATGTAACGCCGGAGAGCAACGTCGTGTTGGATTCTAGGCGCAAAATTTAGCATTATTATTATTATTTATTACAATCGCACGGTCTTAGTAGTAAAATGAATAAAATGTTGAAGAGTATATACCAAAATAATAAAGTGTGTGTAAGGAATCAGCATGAATTATCTGAACCTTTCATTAGTGAACTAGGTGTTAGACAAGGCTGTATTTTAAGCCCTTTCCTTTTAACGTTTTTCATTAATGAATTAGCAATACAAATATGTGACACATGTACGAATGGGATTCAACTACACCCAGATACAATACAACTATTTCTGCTACTCTTTGTCGATGATATTGTACTATTCTCTAGTACTGTTAGCGGTTTAAGGAAATAAATAGATGAATTAGACAAATTTTATGACCAATATAAATTGTGTGTAAACAGAGACAAAACCAAAATTATCGTCTTTAAGAAAGGTGGAAAGCTCTCTAAATTAGAAAAATGGTATTATAAAGGGCAACTACTCAAAACTACCAGTGTTTATAAGTATCTTGGTGTATATTTTTGTAATAGCTTTTCCTGGTCCACACACCTTAAACAAGCGTCAGCAAAAGCCTTGAAAATCCAAATCGGTGTTTGTAAAAATATGAGATCGTTGGGTGAAATGTCCTTTAACACATTCTTTAAAATATTCGATATGAAGATAAATCCAATACTTCTATATGGCTCTGAAATATGGGGATTACAACAATATGACAGTATTTAAAGAGTTCATTTATATGCATGGAACAAGTTTCTTGGTGTAAAACCGAACATATGTAATAGGTTGGTTTACGGAGAATTAGGTAGATTCCCCTTGTTTATATACTCTTCCATTAACGCCATAAAGTATTGGGTAAGATTACTGCATATGCCATGCCATAGGTTTCCGAAAAAATGTTATGATATGATGAAATTGTATGACGAAAATGGGAAAAGAAATTGGGTTAGTGATATTAGGGAGTTGTTGTACAAAACTGGTTATGGTTATGTCTGGTGTGATCACAATGTTCAGTTGCATACCAATTTTATCATATCATTTACACAAAGAATGAAATATATCTATTTCCAGTCTTGGTCGGAATCACTACTTCTATCCACAAAATGTTTACACTATAATCAATGGAAATCGGACACACGTTTTGAAGACTATTTATCAAAAATCGGCGTAAGGAAGTTCCGTATAGCTCTCTCTCGTTTTCTTTGCTCTTCCCATGAATTATTTATTCAAACTGACAGGTATGCAGGTATACAAAGAGAAAACAGAATATGTCAGTTATGTAATATGAGTACTGTTGAGGATGAACTACATTTTCTTCCAATCTGTCCTGTTTATACGACTCTACGAACAAAATACCTAAAGCCATCCTATTATAAGCATCCAAGAGTAAGAACATTAATTTCACTATTAACAGATACTACCACATCAATATTACAGAATCTGCCAATGTACATCTATTTCGCTATGAGATTAAGAAAAAGTATTGTTGCAGAAAAGAATGTATAAATGACTTCTATCTACTCATGTAAACTCTAAATGTACTACAGGCCTGTGGTCTTTTTAAGCACTGAAATAAAAATTGAATAAAAAAAATATAAAGATGTACATTAACTTCGTTTTTTTCAGTCCTTACAGTTGTAACCACTGGCAGATGGAATGATTCCATGTGTTATCATAATAATGAACATTAAGGAGTAAACAAGGTGACCACATATTCCAATCAATCCCAAGACGAACCTGTATTTCATGTTTGTTGATCAATGTAAGGATATACATATAATATCTATACTACCAATTGTGTTTGTTGGTGGCGCAGCAGAAATCACGACCTAGTCAAGAATTATGGGATAACATCCGGGAAGTGGAACAGCCACCTTTATGCAGTTTATCTAATTCTATACATGAAATTTTGAAAATAGAAAATATTACAGTAACTGTTACCCATGTCCACAGTCGTGTTTTACAGTTTTTCTTTAGTCAGTACAGTCGAGCCTTCACATATTTTCAAATGCACCTAATATCTATTTGTCTGTCGTTAACCTGCATGGGCCTAGTCATCTTTCATTAATGACTCTACGACTTTCTCCAAGCTGTGTGTAATGCCATAAAACACATGTGTTAGTAAATATGATGTACGTATCATTGTGAACTTTAATGCATAAATCACTCATCTACTTCACAATGGTATTGTTAACGTTTGCAATACCAGTGTTACCAGTGTGATACTACTGGTATACGTATCTCGAGTGATCGTCTCAGCTACACAGGTAAATGTCACGTAATCATCAAACAGGTGTTGTTGTGTTTTCATGGCAACTATAGTCAGTCAGGATAATTTCACCATGTTGTATTTACGAGATGTTACTGCTGATGATATCAAACATAAAACAACCACGTACCTCAACATGCAGGTCAATCCTATTGCGACTTACGTACCTCAACATGCAGGTCAGTCCTATTGCGACTCACGTACCTCAACATACAGGTCAGTCCCATTGCGACTCACGTACCTCAACATACAGGTCAGTCCTATTGCGACTCACGTACCTCAATACAGGTCAGTCCTAGCGCGACCCACGTACCTCAAGATACAGGTCAGTCCTATTGCGACTCACGTACCTCAACATGCAGGTCAGTCCTATTGCGACTCACGTACCTCAACATGCAGGTCAGTCCTATTGCGACTCACGTACCTCAACATGCAGGTCAGTCCTATTGCGACTCACGTACCTCAACATACAGGTCAGTCCTATTGCGACTCACGTACCTCAACATACAGGTCAGTCCTATTGCCACTCACGTACCTCAACATGCAGGTCAGTCCTACTGCGACTCACGTACCTCAATATACAGGTCAGTCCTATTGCGACTCAGGTAATATCCCCGATCAAGTGTGTGTTCCTAGTCACACCCGTACCACGTGTTTAAACGTAGCCAATCGCAGTTCACATTGCTGATATACGGGTTTACTTCCGGGTAGGCTGGGTGTTTTCCTCAATTACGTCATGCTATACAGTGTACCTCATATGAATAGACCTGTGAAAAAGGGCTCTGTTCCTGGTAATCATGTACAACACAAGTACACAATCAGTAGATTATAATCACATAACGAGATTGTCTGTGTTTGTCTCTAAACCCCAACTTGCTGCTGTTAGGACAGAAGTACACAGGGAGAACAAGTGTTGTTGAGCGAGTGAGCATTATGCATATATTTGTATTTACATTAACTTGCAGACAATGGACGGATTGTTAAATAAATCAGAAATGCGTGTGTCACCTCGAACGGTAACCTGTACTGAAAATGCACGAGTGCCCGACTACATGCATACCTTGTGTTGTCTAGTTGCACATGTACCGCCCGTGTTCACACTGCGCTGACGAAGAGAGGCATTCACTAGCCCTTATGTAGTTGTCAACTCATGGGACCAAAATACTTGAACCCTTCCAAACAATGTGTGTGAGAAAAAATTTGAGGTACTAAACTTAATGGTCAATGAATGTGACTCTGTAAGGCAACTGTAATATCGGTCCGCGCACAGTTGGATATGACCCACACATCAGCGTGACCACAGATTATGAAGAAGTGTGTTACGAGCTGACTCCCAAGTTGATCCTAACAGTTAGCTGGGAAACAGTTATATATATGATCGAGATCTGAAGTCAACAACCAAAAGAGAATTGTGCTGTTATTAACAATTGTATTCTAAAATCAACTAAGTTTACAAATCACTACAAACGTTTAACAAAGGCAGTGAAGAGTAAAGTGGAAGTACAAATCCAGGTAGAATATATAATAACACTAAGAACATTATTGCAGAATATTTAACATTGACACACTGCAATATACAGAGACGAGAGGGATATCATACACTTAACAAATCAAGGCATTATACAAGTTTGTGCAACAAAACCAGTGTCACAAGCATCCATGACCAGTCAGAAAGGTATTTTCATATGTGATGCTTTGAGAAGAGGAGAATTCACGAGAATGGTTTCAACTTTCTCAAAAGCAGTCTGATAAATGCCAATCGTTTGTTCAGCAAATAAGTGAGAGGGGCTTGAGAAATTGGAACAAAACATCAGGTAATCAATGGCATTGTCTCATACATATTAAACAACCATTCAAAGAAGCAACCATGTTTTAAACAGAGGGGATGATTTTATAAACATTTATTAAAATATATGCACAGTTTAGATGTAGATGATTACATCGTTATCAAACAAATGGTGCACAGTACTTTTGGTAGAGCATTAAATGTACATAAATGTTATATACATATAACCATGTTTTGATCATGCATTGGGATTTCTCGCGGTAGATGGGTGTAGGACCCTGGGTTTAACATAAACGTCCACGATGTAGTTTGATAATGGCATCCAATGTGTAGGACTAACGTTCCCTACGTCAGGCTGCATTGATCGTCTGATATTCCATGTCCCTGCCATCCTCTGGTATTTCCCAGTATCTGTGTAGCTCCATGTACTCCGTGGAGGAAGCAGCTGGATGCTGCGGGAGAGGTTCAGGATTCACACTGTCCCCTTCAGCCTCCCTGCACACAGAACATACGGCTTGAGAATGCTATGTTTATATCACCGTATCATATGTAATCATGATTTGACCAGTATTGATGACACTGAACAGTATCCTGAGGTAGGTACTTTCAGTGAGTGTCACGGATCATTCTAATGATGATTGCTTGACACTGACTGGCCACATCTTTAACTCCTCTAGTTTCTTTCAAAGTGGCATTGCTGCACGTCATCTTGACCTTGCTACTTTTCTCTGAACTTAAGTCAACCATTTCAGAATTATTTCTAACCCAGTCCACGACTTTATGCTGTTTTAAAAAACTGATAACCCCTGCTCACTGACCTGCCACTCTACAGTTTCTTCATAACTTTACTGGATTACAAGCTCTGTTGTCACTTAATGTTATCACATTCCTGTTGTTCTTGAATGTACACTTCAAATCATCTCTCCATCTGACGGAACCACCCACCAATATGAATCTCAACTAGGAAGCTCAAAGGAATAAGCAAAGGCAAATACAAAACGGTATCATATGTTTAACATACACACCTCTGGGTGCACAGTCCTTTTCTGTAACAGATGCAGTTGGTGACCATTATAACCATAAGAAACAGCACAAAGGCTGTTGGTATTCCTATTTGCATACCCAAGATACCGTGTGTCGTTTGCGGACCTGTGAACAATAATACCATCTGATTCATATCCTTTCATAATGGACAGAATTGTGGAAAAATATTGTGTTGTTTTGAATATTTCTTATGAACACAATCCTGTGATATATGCACACAGACTCACCATTCTCACATGTTTCCTGCCGACAGCTTTCTCTGGAGCAGTTGTGTTTGCAGGTGGACTCACAGGCACCACCGCTGATATTGCATCCATGGAAACACATTCCAGTAACCTGATCACATGCACCTCCAAGACATATCTCACAACTACCGTTACAAAAGTCTCCATAAAACCCAGAGTTACATCCTTTAAGACAATACCCATTCTGTGGGTCACACATGCCATGCTTGCAGTTAAGTGGGCATGGGATACAATCCTTACCAAAGTTTCCAGACACACAGCCATCAGCACAGACACCATCAATGTCGCATCGCATATCTTTACAGTTCGGGTTACATGGTGAAGAACAGTTGTTACCATGCCAACCATCAGCACAGCCATGTCTACACTCACCACTCACTTTGTCACATTCAGACAAACACGGGTTTCCTTCCTTGTGAAAACAGTCCTCAGATGCATTAAATCTGCAATGTTTGCTGCAAGCCATTTCACACCGATGACCGTAAAATCCGGTTTCACAACCCCCCAAACATCCTGTCAGACACGTTCCTACACAATGCTCACATCTGTGCTCGCAATGCGGACCGAAATGTGTTGCTTGACAAACCTGGCACGTTCCTGTGGATCTGTCGCATGATAGGCATCTCATGGAGCAGTTCTTGCAGTCAATACCATAGTAGGAGTCCACACATCCAGCTACACAGGAGGTTCCCTGCTGGCAGTATCTGTCAGTACATCCACCTGGACACTTAGTACATCCTCCTACGGGTGTGTCACACGGTACTTTACATCTATTGCCTTGGTACCCTGCTATACAGCCGTCAGTACATATATCAGTGCCTTTGTCTTCTGAGAGTTCACATGTGCCATTGCGACATCCCTGGCTGCATGTCGAGCTGCATGTCTTGTCAAAGTACCCAGGGTGACACGTGGTCAGACAGTGACCTGTTTGACCGTCACAATCAGAACATTTTTGATTATTGTTACACGTAGCAGCTGAAACTGAACATCAAATATATCATCAATGGTTATTGTGTAACGAAGAGTGATTGCTTTTCATTTTTGCGGATATGTCATAGCAATAATGAACTTGATTTAATGCGGATATTTGTATCATTTGTCATTTCGTTTCGTTTGCAATGTTTCAAGTATTTTCTCACCTTTCTATGTGTTCAAAAGAATTCGAAAGTCATGAAATCTAATATATCTTACCTACATGTATATCAACTGGTTTGTGGATTTGATGTCTTGTCTATTTAAACCTGATCTACCTTATACAATCTGTTTAAGGTGGTAATTTGCCCCGGAAGTTGTTACCTGTTGACGTGAGGGTGATGCAGATCAACCCGGCGGCAACCAAAACTGTCATGTCATGAGCTGAAAGTCAACATACACATATCAATATGAACATTACCAACCGTACAGAAACAACATCACAGACGGAAACATAGAAGTGCTATTTCTCCAAGATAAATATTACATGTGCCTAAGCTATAATCGTTCACTAATATAAAAGTCACAGTGCCTTGAGCAAGCATTAGTTGAGTGGATATGTGCGCTATGCATGTTACTATTAAAAGTGATTATTTGCAACACGTTTGTTGTTTATACAACCGTAACACTATAACCATCCTCTCCTCGTGCCTTGATCACTTGCTTCTTAGAAGTACAAGCATCAGTACCGAGACACTGAACTGAAAGAAAATAGAAAGTTGAAATCCTTGTGTACTCTTCCTTCATTGACCCTACGTTCTCTATGAGAGTTTCTATAATGCCACTTACAGAAGCTTCAGTCAGCTTTGTGCTGACGACAATCTGAATTATATATAATTGCAATGATTTCAGAGGGCAATTGCCAGTGGGTGCTACAAACACTACTTACCAGTCAGTGCTGCATCATGTGGACATGTGATGAGCTTTTAATAGTATATCAGTTTTGTTTCCTCTAACGAACTGTACACGTGATCATGAGGGAAGTATTTTGGCTGTTTCACACATCTTACAGCAGGAGTCATTTGACATCGTATCAGACCACACGAACCCTCGATTGCTAATGCGAGGTATTTTTCCATCAAACACGGACGCAAACCTAAACATTGGATGGTTTTCATATAAATTGTGCAATATATTTTTTTTTCAATCAAAATCCCTACAATAACTGTTGTCACAAAGTTTAAGGCTTATAATAGAAAAGGCAATACAACGGATCAAATAAGAGATTGATACAATAAGTCCTATATCTTCTTTTAATGAACTCACTGATGTACTCACTGTCAAATGTCTCGAAAGAGGCCTGTTTCTGTTTTTGAATCTAGAATCTTGTTGGAAGCTGAATTCAGTGTTTACAGATGGGATTTCACGCCGCTCGTGTCAGCGCATATGTCCATGCACCTGTGACTCTGTTCCAACAGAGCACTGTAAACTTCAAGTCAATGTTAATTTAGATCTCCTTATATAACAGTGTAAACTGTGAATGAAGCGAGAAAATGTATTACATATGTTTCTGTTAATAAGAGCGGCGTGAAATTATCCGACGAAACAGATATCATTTTGCGTCAATTCATATGAATGTCAGTGATGACTCCAGATATTAGCGAAAAGGAAGAAACATCCTGTTGCTCTACGGAAGGGTTGACCTTTTTCGGAAGTCACATCACGTCAGTCGATTTCTTTTCGAATTTTCGTCTGTTATTTAACACCCCATCCAGTAATATTCCAACACTATGAAGGAGCTCTGTAAATACCGGAATTTGGGCCGGACGATCAAGTGACTGGGATATCCTGAGTATCGATTTACGCAGTTATTTTCAGTGAATGCTACAGACATGTACAGACCGCCGCCATGTAGCTGGAATGTTGCAGTGTGCAGGGCTAAACAACAAGCAATCAACTTCATATCATTTGTTGTGTTGTCATACATAAGACACTATATATTATAAAAAAATGTTGAATTTGCATTTCGTTTGCTTCTGCTGAGATTCACTGGAGGGCGGTGCTATTCAGACTTCGACTGAAAATACATCTGGAAGACTCTGGAGCTACCGGAATGTTACAACATACTAGCCAAACCCGGCGTGAAACTGATTGTTTCTGAACATATACATCGGCAACTCCATACCCCTGTCATCTCAAAATACATCTCACAATACATCTCAAAATACAAAGCCAGCAGGTGCGTGCAGATCACTTTTTAGCCTGGATTCTCAACCTTGGATTGGTTTGGTTACCTGGACCACTAATGCAGATAGGTGAAATTTATCATCATTGTGTTTATTGCTGTAGTCGTTAATATTGTATGGTATTATCATGTTATATTTACTGCCAGTTTATGTGTACCGCCACTGTTGTTACTTCGTAGTAATTTGTATTGATTGTGAACGTAGTTTATTCCAGAATACAATAATGATTGTTGTTTGTAGGTGTGACCACGACATCTGTTACACACAGCTTCATGTTCAAATTGGAAATCAACACGTAACACACTACTGTTGTAAATTTAAATAATGATTCACTGGTCATGTGCAAGTTGTGAGTACGAGCGTCGACTTCCGTGTCGACAGTGCTGTGGTCGCCAGCTGTACAGAGTATTCAATGTCCTTCAAACATTAACAACATCACTCTCAGTAATCGGGTTATTTAAACCATACCTTTAGTGTCCGTGAGCAACCGTCAGATGTAGATGTAGAAAATTGTGTACGTCATTGTTTTTATTAACATTGTAACATCAGTAATCGGGTTATTTAAACCATACCCTTAGTGTCCGTGAGCAACCATCAGATGTAGATAGATGGACCCACGCGTACATTAATCTGTCCTGGACAGTTATTATAATAACAAATTTATTTATTCTCCCGTTTTTGCTGGTTTCAAATTCGTTTTCGTTTTTAATTAACTTTAATTAATTGCTTGAAAATGAAACTGGCAAAGTGGGAGGACACCGCTGGTTGTCTCCCAAAACCCCTACATCCCATAATTCTACAGCCCAGTACCCCTACATTTAGTTGAAACAACACGTGGCATTTACCTGTCTGGCATGATGAACTGACCAAAAAGAGGGGGTTATGGGATGTAGTGGTTTTAGTAGGGTTACCACACCCATACATGTACAGCCATCACTCAACCAACAAGACGTGTGAAAGTCTGTGTGGAATGACTGTGGCTTGAACAACTTTAGTGCCGGCATTGAATGGCGGCACAACTCGTGACCTGGGCCTCCTTTCACCAAGCACTAAGGTGATCGTAAGTCACTAAGGTAACCTTAGTGCAATGTTAAAGAATGGAAGTTAAGGTTAACCTTAGTAAAGGTTGCTTCATGAAAAGAGCCCTTGGACGTTTCACTCTTGACTGCAAGATCTCGTTTGACAGTTTGGCTAGTTGCTAGGTAACCAGACTGTAAGTTGTTCTGATAAACTCAGTGAGACGTTTCTATACCTAGTGCAACGTATGTCACGTGGGAACGACTACGTGCAACTGACATGTTGGAAGTTTAAAGAAGACATAGTAATATGACACGTGCTGTTAACGTTTCACTGTGAGTGCTTAGCAGATTACAAACACTGAGACTACAGACGTCGATCTGGTCGTCAAGACCGTTTCATCAGAACGACTGTGACACGTTTGACGTGTAAATACCGTAACATTGTACTTCCAAACTGATGCTCTCGTTCTGAAAAAGGGTTAAGTGACTGGTTTCCTACTGATATGAAACATGACATATGAACATAGTCTGAAAGGGTGAAGAAAGAGATGGCCATGGTTTATAGAAAGTGCGCTAAAGTAGACATGAACTTTGCCAAGTACTGATGATCTTTGCTGGTTGATGGAACTTCATGCCATTCAAGAATTGTCTTTAACACTGGTTCTTAATATTACCACTTATGTTATTTTTACATAGAAATATCTATTCAAGATAGTAATATACATCACGTATAACAAAGTCGTATGTAGCTGTCTTTAGAACATATCTGTTCCTGCACTTTATAACATATTAAGTTTATAACATACGTAGTGGAGTATCTGCCCTTGTAGCTAAACAGTGAGAGGGAGAAACATTGCTATGCCCCGAGTGTGGCTTTCCGGTCCTTTCTGTGACAATTTGAAACAACTTGTAACTGAATGTTTAAACTTTCCGGGTATAGAGCGTAATTCTGGACCGAAGTTTCATTTTAATGAGTACGGAAACTGAAACATATACTAAATTAAACACATTTGCATTAAATTGGGATATTATTCCTTGCACTCATTGTTCCTAAAAAACGACACGCATTTGAGGGCAGTTGAACAGTTGAATATATTCATTCGTTTTATTGATTTAATCTCAAAGGAGGTCAGTGATATAACCATTATATAACTGGAACAAACTAATGCTGCATAATATACTTATGTTAACTGCAAAAGTTTCGTGTTACAGAAATGTCACATCATTGTGATGAACAGAATGACATGAAGTGAGCTGTCCAGCTTAACGTGGAGGTTTAATGGAGGGCTGGGAGGACATACAGCTTGTGATGACGCACGGTTTGTTTCCGGGTATTCTGACTGTAATGCATCACGGCCTGTCCCAGGTCTCACTGACATGGAAACCACGTAGCTTACAAAGTCCAACATGTGAAATACAACCCGCTATTCTGTTTTGTAATAACTTTGTTGTTTGTGGGTTTCACGCCGACGTCTTGATGAATGTTCTTAATGAACAAAGTGTTTCTGTTTAGAAATCACCAGGTAAAACATTAATGATGTAAATTTGAATCTTGGGCATGTGCCAGTGGGATGAGCATTGTTGCTTCAAGGCTGTTAGTGACACATCACATCTCACCTCAGCCTGTATGTCGACAGTGTTGTGTAGAAACATGACGTCTCACGTCAGTCTGCATGTCGACAGTGTTGTGGTGAAGCATGACGTCTCACTTCAGACCGCATGTCGACAGTGTTGCGTTGAAGCTGACGTCTCACCTCAGTCTGCATGTCGACAGTGTTGTGGTGAAACATGACGTCTCACGTCAGTCTGCATGTCGACATTGATGTGGTGAAACATGGCGTCTAACCTCAGTCTGCATGTCGACAGTGTTGTGGTGAAGCATGGCGTCTCACCTCAGTCTGCATGTCGACATTGATATGGTGAAGCATGGCGTCTCACCTCAGTCTGCATGTCGACAGTGTTGTGTAGAAACATGACGTATCACCTCAGTCTGTATGTCGATAGTGTTGTGGTGAAACATGACGTCTCACCTCAGTCTGCACGTCGACAGTGTTGTGGTGAAACATGACGTCTCACCTCAGTCTGCATGTCGACAGTGTTGTGTAGAAACATGACGTCTCACCTCAGTCTGTATGTCGATAGTGTTGTGGTGAAACATGACGTCTCACCTCAGTCTGCATGTCGACAGTGTTGTGTAGAAACATGACGTCTCACCTCAGTCTGTATGTCGATAGTGTTGTGGTGAAACATGACGTCTCACCTCAGTCTGTATGTCGATAGTGTTGTGGTGAAACATGACGTCTCACCTCAGTCTGCATGTCGACAGTGTTGTGGTGAAACATGACGTCTCATCTCAGTCCGCAGACAGTGTTGTAGTCGTAAGCAGTATTCAATATCCTTCAACTATAAACGTCATCATCGCGGTGATTAGGTTATCCCAACAATATCTTTATCATGGCAACGAACAGCGGGGTTAATATGTGTATGATGACAAGTTGATCACAGTTCCATACTTAGGTGTGTCATAATAGAATAAATCTCAGGCGGGATTTTTAACATGTTTATAAAGAATCCTTCTTCATTCCATGATGATGCCTTCACACGACATGTTCAGCAGGTTCGTCTTGCTATATCTGGTGACACACGGCATGTACAGTTAGTTCGTCTTGCTATATCTGGTGACACACGGCATGTACAGTTAGTTCGTCTTGCTATATCTGGTGACACACGGCATGTACAGCTGGTTCGTCTTGCTAAATATCTGGTGACACTTGGCCTGTACAGCTGGTTCGTCTTGCTATATCTGGTGACACACGGCATGTACAGCTGGTTCGTCTTGCTATATCTGGTGACACACGGCATGTACAGCTGGTTCGTCTTGCTATATCTGCTGACACACGGCATTTGCAGCTGGTTCGTTATGCTATATCTGGTGACACACGGCATGCACAGCTGGTTCGTTATGCTATATCTGGTGACACTTGGCATATACAGCTGGTTCGTCTTGCTATATCTGGTGACACTTGGCATGTACAGCTGGTTCGTTTTGCTATATCTGGTGACACACGGCATGTACAGCTGGTTCGTCTTGATATATCTGGTGACAGAAGCTTGAACTACTTCACGCTGCGAGATTCACAGTGCACAATAAAAAATTATGTATGCATGGAAATAGACATGTGACTGTTGTAAGACGACCTGAGATATAATTCTCACAGACAACCTAATATCTTGATCAACTTTACACACACAGAAAAGAATAAATCTCAGGCGGGATTTTTAACATGTTTATAAAGAATCCTTCTTCATTCCATGATGATGCCTTCACACGACATGTTCAGCAGGTTCGTCTTGCTATATCTGGTGACACACGGCATGTACAGTTAGTTCGTCTTGCTATATCTGGTGACACACGGCATGTACAGCTGGTTCGTCTTGCTAAATATCTGGTGACACTTGGCATGTACAGCTGGTTCGTCTTGCTATATCTGGTGACACACGGCATGTACAGCTGGTTCGTCTTGCTATATTTGGTGACACACGGCATGTACAGCTGGTTCGTCTTGCTATATCTGGTGACACACGGCATGTACAGTTGGTTCGTTATGCTATATCTGGTGACACACGGCATGCACAGCTGGTTCGTTATGCTATATCTGGTGACACACGGCATGTACAGCTGGTTCGTCTTGCTATATCTGGTGACACTTGGCATGTACAGCTGGTTCGTTTTGCTATATCTGGTGACACACGGCATGTACAGCTGGTTCGTCTTGATATATCTGGTGACAGAAGCTTGAACTACTTCACGCTGCGAGATTCACAGTGCACAATAAAAAATTATGTATGCATGGAAATAGACATGTGACTGATGTAAGACGACCTGGTCAACTTTACACACATAGATTGCAGCATACTTATGTATGCATGGAAATAGACATGTGACTGATGTAAGACGACCTGATCACCTTTACACACACAGATTGCAGCATACTTATCGCTATTTCACATCATGATATTCTCACACGTTAGATGGTGATGGAAAAACCTACGCGCACTTGCCAAAAGTAGCTGTTTAATGACTGAAAAAACAATTGATTCCTTTCCATTTATGTTGGTTATAAATTCAGTTTCGTTTTCCTGAAATAACAAAACGTTTTAGATATACGCTGCGCCGCTTTCCGGCTAACGTTCTCGTTTAAGAAAAGCAAAAGAAACGCAAGTGTAAGAAAAGGGATAAATGACCGATTTGCTATCGTTATGACTAATGACATGTCAGCAATGTTGAAGAAAGAGATTGGTTGATATAAAGAGCTAGTGGTTGATACCGCGAACGTTAAACATGTAAGATGGTAAGCATGTGTCACAGACCTAACGCCAGAGTAGGAACATGGAAGTGTGTCATTCAAACAATTGTCTTCGACACTGTTTATTGATATGAGCACATATGATTGTTTACAGAAAAGATCTATGTAAACAATACTGTAAATCACAACATAATAAAATCGTACGTAGCTGTCTTCCTACACTGTTTAACATACGGGGTGAGTGTGCGCCCTTGTAGCTACACTTTGTTATGGAGGAGCATTGCTGTATCGAGAGGGAGGACTTAGGATCAGATCTGTAAACGTTAAAAACAGCGTATAACTGAATGTTTTAACTGTGCTGAGTATAGAACGTAATACTGGGAACATCTTCATTTCAATAAATACGGCAACTGAAGCTTTTGCTATCACACCTTCATTAACTTAGGTCGTTATTCCGTTGCAATTAATGCGGTTATTGAATTTCAGTTTCCTCTCCTGAAATAACGATTGAGATTGGAACAGTTGATCCACATAATCCACATCCAGTGATATATTTTTTTAATCTCAAAGGAGGTCAGTTTTGCAGTAGTGATATAACCATTGTATACTTGGAACAAACAAATGCTGAATGACATAAATGTAAGCCTTCATGTTTATGTCTCCTATTTAAAAACTGACAAAACAGAGTTGCGTTTCTTTTGGTGTTCGGTATACTTATGTTAACTGCAAAAGTGTACTTTTGCGAAAAACGTCGCATAATTGTGATCAGCAGAATGACATGAAGTGAGCTGTCCAGCTTAACGTGGAGGTTTAATGGAGGGTTGTGGGGCTATACAGTCTGTGATCAGCAGAATGACATGAAGTGAGCTGTCCAGCTTAACGTGGAGGTTTAATGGAGGGTTGTGGGGCTATACAGTCTTTGATCAGCAGAATGACATGAAGTGAGCTGTCTAGCTTAACGTGGAGGTTTAATGGAGGGTTGTGGGGCTATACAGTCTGTGATCAGCAGAATGACATGAAGTGAGCCGTCCAGCTTAACGTGGAGGTTTAATGGAGGGTTGTGAGGCTATACAGTCTGTGATCAGCAGAATGACATGAAGTGAGCCGTCCAGCTTAACGTGGAGGTTTAATGGAGGGTTGTGAGGCTAGACAGTCTGTGATCAGCAGAATGACATGAAGTGAGCTGTCCAGCTTAACGTGGAGGTTTAATGGAGGGTTGTGGGGCTACACAGTCTGTGATCAGCAGAATGACATGAAGTGAGCTGTCCAGCTTAACGTGGAGGTTTAATGGAGGGTTGTGAGGCTATACAGTCTGTGATCAGCAGAATGACATGAAGTGAGCTGTCCAGCTTAACGTGGAGGTTTAATGGAGGGTTGTGGGGCTATACAGTCTGTGATCAGCAGAATGACATGAAGTGAGTTGTCCAGCTTAACGTGGAGGTTTAATGGAGGGTTGTGGGGCTATACAGCCTGTGATCAGCAGAATGACATGAAGTGAGCTGTCCAGCTTAACGTGGAGGTTTAATGGAGGGTTGTGGGGCTATACAGTCTGTGATCAGCAGAATGACATGAAGTGAGCTGTCTAGCTTAACGTGGAGGTTTAATGGAGGGTTGTGGGGACTATACAGTCTGTGATCAGCAGAATGACATGAAGTGAGCTGTCCAGCTTGACGTGGAGGTTTAATGGAGGGTTGTGGGGACTATACAGTCTGTGATCAGCAGAATGACATGAAGTGAGCTGTCCAGCTTGACGTGGAGGTTTAATGGAGGGTTGTGGGGCTATATAGTCTGTGATCAGCAGAATGACATGAAGTGAGCTGTCAAACTTGACGTGGAGGTTTAATGGAGGGTTGTGGGGGCTATACAGTCTGTGATCAGCAGAATGACATGAAGTGAGCTGTCAAACTTGACGTGGAGGTTTAATGGAGGGTTGTGGGGCTATATAGTCTGTGATCAGCAGAATGACATGAAGTGAGCTGTCCAGCTTAACGTGGAGGTTTAATGGGGGGTTGTGAGGCTATACAGTCTGTGATCAGCAGAATGACATGAAGTGAGCTATCCAGCTTAACGTGGAGGTTTAATGGAGGGTTGTGGGGCTATACAGTCTGTGATCAGCAGAATGACATGAAGTGAGCTGTCCAGCTTAACGTGGAGGTTTAATGGAGGGTTGTGGGGCTATACAGTCTGTGATCAGCAGAATGACATGAAGTGAGCTGTCCAGCTTAACGTGGAGGTTTAATGGAGGGTTGTGGGGCTATACAGTCTGTGATCAGCAGAATGACATGAAGTTAGCTGTCCAGCTTAACGTGGAGGTTTAATGGAGGGTTGTGAGGCTATACAGTCTGTGATCAGCAGAATGACATGAAGTGAGCTATCCAGCTTAACGTGGAGGTTTAATGGAGGGTTGTGGGGCTATACAGTCTGTGATCAGCAAATTGACATAAAGTGAGCTGTCCAGCTTAACGTGGAGGTTTAATGGAGGGTTGTGAGGCCATACAGTCTGTGATCAGCAGAATGACAT